ATTCAATGCTGGCGTTGAGCTGACAAGCTCTCCCTAATAACACAGCAATCAAGCCTGCAGCTGATCTAATTCTGTCCTGGGTCTCCATTACCCAGCAATTCTGTGCTATTGCATGGCGTGTTATTTAATGTGACGTGACGACGATGGCGTGTAGTTAATTTTACGCCTCTGTATTGTGATGAATAGAATATACGGCTGCTTGTAAATGCAGCTTGATTGCTTCATTGATTGAAGGCTAATTCTCAACTCTGAGGTTACTTGGCAAACATTTTTTGAAAATAACCGTAGATAATTGTAATCTAATATTTAAAGTTAATTTACTAGAAAATCAAGTATTTATTATTTAAAGGTCATATTCATGTACACGCTCTCCTCGTTCAACTCATAAAAGCACCTTGTATTTAATGCAAAAAAGCTTCTGCGGTTTGCACGGATGTTTTGCTGGCAGCAATACAAGGTGAATTGCAAAAGCACACAAATAAATATGCTGGAGAAATGATTGGCATTTGCATGGCCGTGTTTTTGTATTGCTTACACATGTCTAAAATGAGTGATGCTTTGGTCCGCCAGGCACATGTATGTAAAACAAATGCATGATGGAAAGCGTCGTAAAGGCTGAAACCACAACAGACAAGCCACACTGACCTCAAAAAGACCTACAAATCTCAGCTCTATCGGCCGACAAGACTAAATATGGAGATGGATTAGAACAAACCAAACCATTTTGCGCTCTCAAAAAAAAAAAAAACAACAACTGCAAGCCAATAACAGATATTTGATTCAATTGTTGATCTTGGCTCAAAATATAGAGGCTGTTGTAATCCCAGGCCCATTTGTACAAAATAGGCCAGAATCATTTTCATCTGTGATTGACACTCATGCTGTCCGAATGCATTTAGTCTCCCCTGATCTAGAGAGTTAAGAAATCAGGGAGAATTATTAAAGACTGCGTTTGCTGGTTTAATCCATGATCGATTATTTTTTCAGTAAATTTCAGTGTCTTTGGAGCGCTGAAGCATAAATCTAAACTCTATCAAATTTGCACACAGCAAGTTGAGAAATAAAAATAAAAAACACTCCCATCCCATCAGAGACATTATCTTCGTTCAAACCAACTGAATGGGGCATATATAATGCAATAAATGCATAAACCAGCAGCTGAAAACAGTGTTACTAACAGCAAACAACCATACCTTTTTAAAGAGAATGGCAAAGAACAGCATACGGTATTGATGACTGTGAAACACCTTGACATATTACCTTTCTGTCTAGCAGAAAGGTAGCGTCTCCAATCTGCATTGGGTTAAATTAACAACAGCTTGAATGTCTTATGTGCAACGAGACATGGAAACACTAGTATTGTCCGGTTACCTGTCTGGGGCAACCGGCGGGGTGAAGTTTCTGCTATCAAGACAGAAGATGGTGTGTATGTGTGTGTGTGTAAGTTTCTGTGTGTAAGGACATTAGGGGGATGTAGGTAACATGAAACCAGACCACACATTTATGAGGCCACTGCACTCGATCCCTCTCAACACTTACTCACACACATACACACGCACACACACACTAACACAGAGAACAGTAGAGACCTTTCTCTAGCCTGTTAACAGGCCCCTCTTTCTAGTTCCTGTTCCTTTAGCCTTTCCTCCACTAGAGAGAAAAAGGAGAGAGGAAGGGGAAAAGAGAGAGCATCTCAGATGTCAGACCACAAGAACTGAAATCAAACACGATCAAAAAGAGCCAGGCCTTTTCACAAGGAGAAAAACACAGGTAGTTTTCATGGATGACTTCACCAGAGGGAATTGTACTGTGAAGAGAAAATTAATCTTGTCCAGAAAACTATAGGTATTTCAAATCTGTTACAAGACACCATTAATAATACCACTGTATGTTCCCCATCATTAATTTAAAAGCTACATGTACATTCAGAGAACGATGAGGTCATGTGACTTGTTCTGACTCTGAATCACTATATATTTATATCTAAATTATCTAATTTCACCATCCAACAGACAGTTAAACGCTACCTAAGGTTACTGAGCATTACTGGAAACCCACTGAAAAAAATAAAATAAAATAAAGTTACATTAAGTATATCAGACAGTAAGGCAGCATAATTAATCTGAACAATAATTACGATGCTTGTTTTTGCAGCGTTCAGAATTTCAATTGAGAGCATGAATGGAATAACCAATCAGATGTGTTTCATTAAGTCATTAAGCAGAATAAATCCACTCAAAACGCAGTTTTTGTTCAGTGGGATCTCACTGATTGAGTTTTATGCTTTCACAAATCCTTTCATTATAACAAACACGATCTATGTAGTTCAGTGTAGTCGGCTTTATTGATTGCAATGGTAGTTTTCATGAGGGCACAAAAGTGAAGTGATTGAAAGCTTGAAAAGTGCTCTTTCCTCACTTTCCTTGTGTATATTATTTGAAGAAAAGTTGTATTTTTCATGCAGCTAACTAATGGCCATGTAAACGCTGCAATGTTTCAGGAGTGGCAACTGCACTTAAATGCAGGAGTGAATATGCTAAATTTTAGTTCAGTGTGTAAGTCACTGGCGAAACATTTACGACTGACATAGTGATAACCATAGCAACATTTTGGTGTCTTGTGGCTGTGAACAAGAAGAATGATGCAACATTTTAATCCATTCGGTGGTCACTATTTTTGACTAAAATAGTACTATTGACCAAAGACACATTGTGTTTGGTAATTGTACTGCTTTTAAACAGTGTTCTCATTGGACCAGTTTGGATTTGTAATCTTCATAAAGAATATGACATGCCCCCTACCCACACCAATCATAGAAGAAAAAAACAACAACTACAATGTAAATTATATTAAGCAAACTTAATAATCACAATTACAGTATTAAGGGAAATAATCACCAATTATGTTGTCTGTGCTTAACACTGTTGTACTTAAATCTTACAGCATTATGACACTCATCAAATCAGTAATTCATCAAGACTTCATACTTCGAGTCCATTATGAGTATGCCTGGCACATTTTCCCGTCATGATGAGTGACAGAGGCAAAAAAAAAAAAAAAAAAAGAGATCGGGTAGGAAGGTAAATGCAGATAAAAAGAATTTTAAAAGGGGGGGGGGGGGGGGAGATTAAGGTCATCATAAAAGTAAAAAAAGGCCTCAAAACCAAGCTAGGAATAAATAAGGTTCAAAAATGAAATTCTAATGACTTCTCTTTATAAAATATTTGATATAGACTATTATGCTATCTTAATTGGATTTTGCAAGGGCATGTTGGCTACTCCTGATAACACTCAATAAAACATCTAAAGAGCTCCTCTTAAATTGTCAGCAGGGACGTACATAATGACGCAGGACTTGATCTCGCTTCTTGCCAAGGACGTAGTAATTGCAAACTGGTAATAGTGTAGAACCATTTTGCTCAGCACCCTGTGAAAGCCTGCTGCATTTAAATGGACAAACAGATGGACGGATCGTACAAAGCACAGCAACTTTCAAACAAAAAGCAAATAAATAATTATCTAAGCAGAGTACTTGGACACACAATACATGCGCCAGGGCAGCAAATTGAGGCTCTGCGTTAAAATATGCATGAGATGTCCCGAAGAAACATAGGCAACAGTACTCCTTTCGTGGAGAAGTGCAGACATCTAAACACAGCCCATAAGAGGGTTGTTCAAGAGGGTAGAAAAAAGGGAGAGAATAAATACAGGACAGACTTGTCAAAAGAATAAAAAAACTGTGCAAAGAGCCACAATTTGTGAGGAAGAAAAAAAAACAATGAGAAAAGAGAAACAAGTGGGATATTGGATGGAGGAAGCAGGTATTAAAATGGAAAGTAGGTGATTCTAAATGCACATTGTGTGTGGGGGGGAGCGTGAAACAGAGAAGATATGTACAGCACATAAGAAGATCCTATGAAATGCGTGAGGGTGTGTAAGAGAGAGAATGCTATCTTGTGGCATGAGTTTAGAAAGGGCTTTGTTTTGGAATGCAAGGGAGGACACTACTTACAGCATGTTAGATAGGAATCAATAATGCATTAACCACCTTAGAAAACACATGAAACGACAGGGCAAGTGTTCTTTTCCTGGCAAATCTGGACAATGAAAGGGCTGGCTTCATTTTGAATTAACCTTGCCTAGCACTGAAGCACTCTACGGGACATGGAACAATAATGATATAAATTGATTATCTCACACGTGTGCCTTAGAATTTACAAAGCCATTTTATGGCTGCTGTAACAAGGGGCATGTTATGCTTTAAATAATGAAATATAAAAAACGAGGAGAGTGCAATAGCTATTAGGTAAAAATTACGACAAGAGAATGTGAGATAAGAAAGAGAGAGAGTGAGCAATGAGGCCAAATTTCACTGCTAGGTCACTGAATTTGTGCACAGGAATGTTAAATGTGACCTCCTGCCCAGATGTTCCCAGTCTGTTCGGATATGCACATTTAAACCTGACACCACAACTAGCATTCCACCTTTTTCAATCTTTTCTCCTTCTGCTTCATCTCACTATCCTGCCCCCCTCCCAGGAAGAGAAAGAACTAACCATGTTTTGATAAGAGATTGGGTCGTGCTCCATCCACAAATCTACTGCTGAGACGGAATAGCTGTGAACCAGAGCCATATGTGATCCCATTCGATCATCTGACGACAAAGGTCGTCAATGCTGACACCCGCATCTGCCCTAAAACTACACTAAAAGATGTGCCAGTGTGTCCACAGCCTGGCCTTGGCACCCCGGGTGGCCCAGCGGAAATGATATCCCTGACTGAAGAATGCCTTCATGTCGCTTTTAGCATTACATCTAAATGGCACTATGAGGTGAAGCAGGTCGATACAGGGAAACAGAAGCAACGGCTAAAAATACATATATCCAGCACTATAATATTACAGTGTAGGCTGAATAGTGTTAAAAGCTTGAAGTATCTTGAAGTATAAAAAAATGTGATTGGTATCATAGATTGAAAATGATAAAAGATATGGTTCTTACCTGTTTGTTGTACTTGTTGATGGTTTGGCTACTGTACTCAGAACAGTGGTCTGATCCGATGGATATGTTATCTCCAGTGCCGACAAATGTGTTGGCCGGCGGCAGGTCCTGAACAGCCTGGTGCTTTTTTCCTGCTGTGGGCGACTGAGGGTGCAGCTGAACAGTGGGCAAGGGTGAGCTGGATTTGTAATGGCGGGCAAGATCTGGGCTTCCGGGGCCACCGTTGACAGACCGATAGCGGCCCATTCCTGGACTGTCTGACAGTTTCTCATTGACGCCGTCGTAGCGCTGCCCATTTGGCTTGGATGCCTCCACGGTGACAATGCTGCTGTATAAAGGCTGTTTGGACTTTTTCTTATTCTTGTCTTTCTTAGGTTTCTTGCCTTTATCATGTTGCTGAGGTGTGAAAAAATCCTCATGGTCTTTCTTTCCAGCTTCATATCCATTCTTGTTCTTGGGGCGGCAGTAGCGGGCCATGACGACCACCATGAAGATAAGAATGACAATCATGATTCCTGAAAAAACCCCTATGGCGATGCTCAGCCGTTGCTTTCCCAAGTCAAAATTGGGGTCTCCTGCAATGTCAGCATTGAGTGGTGTACCAAGACTTTTGTCAACTTGTGCCTCTACAATAGTGGCGTTAGAGAGTGTTTCATTGACGTAGATGTGGACTAGAGTGGTGGTGCTTTGCGACGGAACCCCACTGTCATTCACTTGCACAACCAGGCGATGAAGGCCAAAGTGTTTTTCCTCTAGTTTGCCGACTAATGAGATTACTCCAGTCCAAGAGTCAATTTCAAACAACTTAAACGGATTGCCGCCGACTATTCTGTAGCTGAGGTTAGCATTAACACCTGTGTCGGAATCAGTAGCTGAGACAGTCCTTACCACCGTCCTTATATTGCTAGAAGGAGGAAGCAGTGTGTACGAGTTATTCATTGGAAAAGTAACAGTGGGAGGATTGTCATTTACATCCATCACAGAGAGAGACACCGTGGCTATAGCTGACCGGGGCGGATCACCTCCATCAACAGCTTTGACACGAAACGAATATGTGTTTTTTTGCTCACGGTCAAATGCCATGTTTGAGAAGATGGTCCCTGTGTTGTTGTCAATTGAGAAAATGTCCTCTTCTTCCTCAATATATAGACTCATGTCTGCATTTTGTCCTTTGTCTGCATCCATGACCGTTATCATGCCAACGGGGCTGTTGGGTTGCCGGTTTTCCGGTATGTAGAAAGTAAACACATCCTGCATGAACTTTGGCTCGTTGTCATTTTTATCCGCCACCAGGACTACCACGGTGGCTGAACCCTGCAGAACAGGTATGCCTTTGTCTTTGGCGATAACTTTGAACTCATATCGTTCAGTCTGCTCCCTGTCAAGTATGGTGTTGACACGGATGTCACCGGTGTCTGCATCAATGGAAAATATTCCGTTCACAGAGGAGTCCAGGGAGTAAGAGATTTCAGCATTTTTGCCGCTGTCTGCATCTAAAGCCAATACAGTGACGACGCGCTCACCTGGAGCATTGTTTTCAGGAAATGAAACTTCCATTGTGCTTTTGCTGAAAACTGGTGGATTGTCATTCATGTCCCCCACTTTCACTATTAATGAATTGTTGCTAGAGAGACTAGGGCTCCCAGAGTCAACAGCAACAATGACCACGCTATACTCTTGCACTGCTTCATAATCAAGGAGTGCTGACGTATGGAGAAAGTACTTCTTTTTATTCATTTCACCCTCAACCTCACTAGCAGGTTTAAGCTGAAATGGAACATCGCCCACTACGGTGCACGTCACTATACCATTTGGTCCTTTATCTCGGTCTGACACTTGGACTAAAGCGATGGGTGTATCGACAATCACGTCCTCCGCCACATTAGCCACTCCGTCTTTGAGAAAAATGCGTCCTATTTTTCGGATGTCGATATTGGGGACGTTGTCATTTTCGTCTTTGATGTTGATGACCACTGTCGCCTTGTCAGTCTTAGGAGGCTGACCGCGGTCACGTGCCATGACTGTGAAGCGAAGCTGGCTCACGTCTTCTCGGTCGATTCGGTGCAAAACACTGAGCCAGCCAGTGCTCTCATCTAGCCGCAGCAGTCGCCGCACTGACTCTGTGGCTGCTCCGAAAACGTACTCGATCTGTCCATTGACGCCAACATCAGTGTCGCCCGCTTTTAGCTGGAGTATGGGGGCACCTGGGGAGCTGTTTTCTGGCAGGTCTGCCTCATAAACACTCTTCTCAAAGCGTGGGTTGTTATCATTCACATCTGTAATCATTACCCTAAGAATGGCTTGGGAGGAGCGTGGGGGGTCGCCCCCATCTCTAACGCGCAGAGTCAGCTCATAAGAGTCGCGCTGTTCTCTGTCCAGTGCCCCTTTGATAATAAGCTGCGGCTGCTTCTCTCCGTCTGTTGTGTCAGCAACTTGAAGTTCAAAGACGCTGCTACGGCTCGCCCCCTCGTCAAATCTCCGCTTGCCCGTGTGAGAGTCAACACTGCCGGAGCCGGAAGTCCCGATCCGTCTGACAGAGCTCTCGCCGTTGTCCTGAATTAACTCGTATCGTTCTATTCCATTCCGACCGAAATCTCTGTCGGTGGCCGTAGGCAGGAGATAAAGTGTGCCAATGGGTCTGTTCTCCTCAACGGAGAGTGTGAGAACAGGTGAGGGGAAAGACGGCGTGTTGTCGTTTATGTCTAAAATAATCACTTTGCCCTCATATAGATCAACCCAGCTCTGCGCGGGTCCTATCATGGAGACTTCGAAATCTATAAAACATTCGTTCTCATCAAAAATCATTTGACACTGCGGCAGCTTTTCGCGGTCTATCCGCCGCTCGTTCGTGCTCAGATCTCCGGTCATGTTATCAATTTTGAAGTACTCGGAACCGGATTCTAAGGTATAAGTCACATCCATGCCAGCCGCGATGCTGAGGTCCGCGGCTACATTGCCTACTCGGATATCGGCAGGTCCCTCCTCAGCCAAGCGGTACCGGAGCACTTGCTTGGCTGCGGGCTGACTCAGCAGCTGCAGAATAAGAAAGCAGTATCTTAAATAGTCCACAATGATCGTAGTCCTCATGGTTCCTCGCAGATTTTCCAACTAAACTGAACTATAGTTTTGTTTAACAGTTTTTTTCCTCCTTCTCGCTTGTGTTAAAACGCCTGTTTCTCACTGCATGCGTTTTCACGACCGGATAGCTCTCTTTGGTTACCAAACTCAGGCAGATTAGCGCGCTGTTATTTTTTTCCACTCTCAGACTAGGCTCGCGCTATTCCTTTTTCATTGATTTGTCCATCAAAAAATATACACAACACTGACAGAAAGTATTCACAAATTCATTCAATATTAAGCTTGAAACAAACATGCCAAAAATTACTTGCTGAGTCTACTCCGTCTTTGCCATGACTTGACATCGCCGAGTCTTCATTAAAGGCAACGAAAGCCAGATATTCAATCCAATGCGCAATCAATTCTTGAGGTTTTAAATCCAACTTCCCCAAATGCCAGTTCTCAGCTCCAGATGATATCCCACCATACGGATTAGAAACTGATATATCAGAACTTCTTGTTCTGCGGAACAAACGATCTGTCCTCTCCCTGTGCCGTGTCCGCGCGCACAGATTTATCCAGTCCACTCAGCTTAATAGTTATCTCACTTGCACCAGTGAATGAAAAAAAAAAAAAAAGAAAGAAAAAAATCTCCGCAGTGTCACTGTACTGTTCAGCCTTAAGGCAAAATGCAAAACTGTGGAACAACGGAGTTATGATCCTGGCAGAGATGCTAGGAATGTGGTTTTAAAATTCCAGCGCGAGGACGGTCCCTCTGTCCAGCGCGCGCCTCTCACCTGCAGCAGAAGCGCGTGTGTATCTGCCGCACTCCGTGCGCGAGTCTCTCTCTCTCTCTCTCTCTCTCTCTCTCTCTCTCTCTCTCTCTCTCTCTCTCTCTCTCTCTCTCTCTCTCTCTCTCTCTCTCTCTCTCTCTCTCTCTCTGTGCGACAAACAAGGCTCAACTTGATCGCTTAGTTCTACTGTTTGAGGAGTGTCTCTTCTTTTTTTTCTGTTCGCAAGGGCATCTTATTGTAAAATAGTGTCATTTACTGCCCAGAAATGAGCATTTGAGACTGTTGGAGGTGCACTGTGCGCATTATTAAACGCCTTCCAGAGGGATTGTATTTTTTAAATGAAATATATTTCTGCTGAGGTATGGTGTCGCGCAAACCACAGCTGTCTATCCACAGTCAACTATATAAAATGTGTTTCAAATATATATATATATATATTATTAATAAATCTATAATAAAGTGATAAATGACGACAATATGTTTTTTCGATGGAGTGCGCGTGGCTCGTAACGGAACTGTTGCTACGGTTACAAACAAGATTAAGCACATTTTGACTATTTTGAGTCGAATCTAACTTTGGGGAAGCACGCATTATTTAATGTAAAAATGCCTACTTTCAAGTACACTAGGTATTTTACACTGTCCTATTTATATAGTAGAAGTGGTTTAGTTTGATAGACTGTTATTTATTTCAACAAATAGTAATGTGTCAGCATATTTACTTAACCATCTGATAATGCATTCATCTAAATCATTCGATTTTATAAAATAAGTAGTAGGCTACTACAATCTGTTTTTGTACACTCCCCAAAGCACTCCGTGCGTCCCAGATCATCTCGGCTTCGCTGCCCACTGTGGCTTTCCTGGTATGTTAGAATACAGTGTGTTTTCGTTCGTGTGGTGTTTTCTTCGGCATAAGTATGCGGTGAGCTTTTTCTACCACACACTCACGCTTTTCAATCTGTTATGGGCTTTTTGCGCAGAAAAGGCACCACGGACAGCGACGCTCGGTTGACTCACCGGTGCAAAGGACTGAGAGAGCGAGTGCGGTGACTCTACGAGACTAAAACTCTTACCATCAAATCCATATCGCAGAGCTTCGGTTTTATATAGTCTACCTCTTTTAATAAGTATCATTCGTTCCCGTTTGGTGCTGTATGAAATGCATCTAGTAAAGCATTCAGTAAACACTTTTTCCAGAAAGGAATTCCTGAAGATAACTGTATTTTCCCTTCTTTTTTTCTTTTGTACTTTACAAAACTGTGGAGATAAGGGTTTAGGGGGAAATGTGTGCGGTTTTGCCCAGCTAAGAGAGCCGAGCTGTGACTGGTCCAGAGCTGCCTGCCTGCAGAAGGAAGCCCCGCTTTTCAGAATGTGAACAGTGCGCCAAATGTCGCTACACAGCGCCCTCTGTTGTCCTCTTAAAATTATACGGAGCAAATTAGTTATTGCATATGTGTTGAGATAGAGAGTTGTAGTATGTGCAAAGCGGAGTTTCATATCTATACGTAGACTTTCGTCTATCTACTCTCTTTGAATTTTTGAGTCACATTCGGGCACCATTTTCTCTCCTATTCCCTGCAGTCCGTTTCTCATTTAAAAGGACTGTCACTCATTAGGACGTTAATGACATTTGAAATGAGTGCTTTCAAAAGCCACTAGAGGGTGTTACCCTTTTTAGTGTGGAGAGCATGGAAGTTAAGAGGTCAACTTTTTTATTATAGAGTCACTAATTTCTTGGCTCCTCTCAGGTGGATGTTGAAATAGATTTTTTTTTTTTAATATTCTTTTGTTTGTAGGTTCCAGTTCATCTAAATGGCCTTTATTTTTTTATAATGACTAAATCAGCTAAAACATGTAGAGTGGACATTTAATAATAACATTTACGAGCACATGGTAGGCCTAATGCTTTATTTGTATGGTCCCCTGCGGACATTATGTTGACTATAAGTATCTTTGCTATTCAACTGTCAGAGACGGTCTGATTAAAATCTGCTACTTTTTTTTTATTTTCATTTTTTTATTGTGATGGTCCTCCAGCAGACATTCTATACTGTAAGTGACCTTGCAAGTATAAGTCAACATAATCCATAACACCATACTAGTCAATTTATACTCTAATAACACTCTAATTAGAATTTGTAGACATGTAGGTGCAATGCTACTTATAGTCAACAGAATGTTTCTGAATGGGACCAAAGTAAAACCAAGGTTTGGATATTTTAAAATCGTTCCAACGCTGCATTATTACTATAAAATGTCCGATAATTAAATTTTGTGATATGTTAGTTTTCAAAACAAAGTAAAATAGTTGCTAGAAAACTAAGAGAGATCTAAATAGGCCCAAACTATGCAGGTACATCACTAAGAAAAAGATAAGGCTATAATGTGTTGAGAAAACCAGTCTAAAAAGAATGATCTGCCAAACATGGGAAAATTGCATCAGCAAACACGAACAGTGATTGCAAGTCAAAATCTGACAAGCATAGACATTTTTTTTACTGGATAGTCATGCATAATTAAATATTACAGAAAATACATCCTCAAAAATCACCACCGAATTGAATCAGCATTTATGTGAGCAAGTCTGACAAATGTGTTGGCTTAGCTATAAGCTATGATTGATTGTTTATGTTTAAATATGATTAATAACTATGCCAGGTCATTTAACATGGCCAGGTAAACATTGTAATGCCACTTTTTGTAATATTAAGTGAAAGTGACGTGAAGATATGTGATGGTAACCCATACTTAAAATATGTCCTTTGCATTTAACCCATCCAAGTTAGTGCACACACAGGAGCAGTGAGTAGTGAACACACACACACACACACACAGAGAGAGACTCACACCTGGAGCAGTGTGCACTGTTCCCATTCAGGGAACTTCGAGCTGCGTGTAAACGCCGTGGGAACGCCTCTGCGTGACGAGTCATGAAGCACGTATGAAATCTGTCCAATGGCGAGACGGAACGTCATAGGCGGGGTGACGTATCGACCAGGAAACTATAAAGCATCCCCGAAACACAAGCGCAACAGCTTCTGAGTCTTCACAAGCGCTCTATGTATGAATTTTGTCTGTCTGTCTAATATTGTATATTTATATATATTGATATGGCGAGCAAACAACAGCAGAAAGTGTGTTCATCCCTGCCCTCGCTTCATCACGGGTGGGGATACACACGATCTGTGTGTTGTTTGCTTGGGAGTGCAGCATGCTCAGTCGGCTCTCGAGGGGGCCGGCTGTGCACTGCGAGTGTCTGCCCATGAAGACACTTCGCTCCCGCCGGGCACTCTTCGAGGAGAGTGGTTCGGTGCGCGCTCCCCGCGGCTCGGGTCCCGCTGCTGCCGAGGCACAGCGAAGGCTTGCGTCGTGGGGATCGCAGATGGATCTATCAGCGGGGATTGAGACGGGCCCCGCCCTTTCTCTGCCCTTACCTGGTAGATCCAGTGCCTCAGTTCTCGCTGCGGGAGTCCGCGTTGCGGTTTTCCTGCCCGGGCTGAGGCGCCATCACTTCAATTATCCAGTTCTGAGGAGCTGGATGTTGAAAGTGTGGATGCAGAGTCTATGGACTCAGTGGAGAGCGAGGGAAGCTCGTTTGCCATCCCAGTCTCCCGCGAATGTAGTAAAAATAAAAGGAAAAAAAAAAAAAAAATGGAGGTTTTTGACTCGGGCTGTGGAAAAATTAACCATTGAATGGCCAGTTGAGAAACAAGAGTCGAGAGAGTAAAATGGATGAGAGATTTTTAATATCACACTCACTACCTCCATGCCGGTGTTTGCCCTTCTTCCCCGATCTACACACCGAGGTGTGTAGATCGTGGAACAAACCAGTGTCAGCTAGAATTTTGACACACCAGACCTCTATGTATGCTAATATTGCTGGGTCTAGGAGATATGAGTGAGGGGGAGGTCGTCGGCACTGACGTGATTAATGAGATACTGCGTCAGGCGGCAGATATTTCTCTCCGTGCCACCAAGGAGACGGCCAGATCAGTCGGCCGCTCTATGGCAGCCCTGGTGGCCACGGAGAGGCATCTGTGGCTAAATCTGGCTAATATGAAGGAGAAAGATAAAGCGTTTCTCCTGGATGCGCCGCTGTCGACCGGAAAAAAACAGGCAGCGGCGCTCCAGAAATGTCTCCCCCTCCGTACTCATCCTTCGGGGGCTGCTGGGCGAGAGCAGCCCCGCCCGTCGAGAGAGCGTCGCGTCTCGGGCTCCTCCCCAGCAAAACTGGGCTGAGACGCGGCGTTCTCAGGCGAGGTCTTCCCGGGATAGAACCGATCTGAGGACGGTTATTGTCGCCAGGAAGGCTTCGTCGAAGAAGTCCTGACGCCACTGGTGTCAGGCTACTGAGGGTGGTCCCCACCGTGAGACAGAGGTGTTCGCCGCTGAATCCGGCGCCCGCTCTCTCTCGGTGCCCTCAGGGGTTCGTTCTGCCAACCCTGCCTGTAATGGGGGGTGCAGACGGTCCCAGCGAGCGATTTCCCGAGGGACGCTCGTTTGCTCCGAGGAGCGATACAGAACGGTCGTTAAACCCTGCCTGTGCGCGGTCACAGGGCGCTGTTTCTGTTTTTAAAAACTACTCCAGAGGCCAGTCTCGAGAGACTGGTACCCTTAGTAGAATTTCTGGTAGAATGGGGAAGTCTTCCAAATATATCTCGTTGGGTCCTGCAGACTATCGAACGCGGGTACGCGATCCAGTTCAGGTCGCGTCCACCTCGTTTCCGGGGGGTTTTGCCCACAGTGGTGACCCCGAGCAGGCTCTGGTTATGGAACAAGAAGTGAAAGCTCTGCTACTGAAGGGGGCGATAGAACGAGTTCTTCCTCCCGACAGAGAGCTGGGGTATTACAGCCGGTACTTCATTGTTCCAAAGAAGGATGGGCGGCTGCGTCCGATTTTAGACCTGCGCCTCTTAAATCGGTCAGTAGGGAAGCTCAAGTTCTAAATGCTGACTCTCAAGCAGATCGTGTCACAGATCAGGTCCGAGGACTGGTTTGTCACGATAGACCTAAAAAAAGACGCGTACTTCCATATCTCCATCCTTCCGCAACATCGGAAGTTCCT